GATTACGGGCCTCCCATAGCTGCTGCCAGGCCCCTAATCTGCCATAGGCCCCTATATACCGCCTCCTCATGCTGCTGCCAGGTCCAGAGTCTGTCATGGGTCCCTGTACGGCCTCCCATTGCTGCTGTCTCCATCGCCACACTCTGCCATGTGCCACTTTCAGGTCTCCTCACACACTGCTGGTGTGTAGAATTTTTTGACATAGGGTGCTGGCAGATTACGGGCCTCCCATTGCTGCTGCCAGGCCCCTAATCTGCCATAGGCCCCTATATACCGCTTCTCCTCATGCTGCTGCCAGGTCCAGAGTCTCTCATGCCATGTCCCATTGCCACTTCCATCAGGTCTCTTTCAGGTCACACTGCTGGTGTGTTGAATTTTTTGACATAGGGTGCTGGCAGATTAGGGCCTCCCCATAGCTGCTGCCAGGCCCCTAATCTGCCATAGGCCCCTATATACCGCCTCCTCATGCTGCTGCCAAGGTCCAGAGTCTGTCATGGGTCCCTGTACGGCCTCCCATTGCTGCTGTCTCCATCGCCACACTCTGCCATGTGCCACTTTCAGGTCTCTTCACACTGCTGGTGTTGTAGAATTTTTTGACATAGGGTGCTGGCAGATTACGGCCTCCCATTGCTGCTGCCAGGCCCCTAATCTGCCATAGGCCCCTATATACCGCCTCCTCATGCTGCTGCTGCTCAGGTCCAGAGTCTGCTCATGCCATGTGCCATGTGCCACTTTCAGGTCTCCTCACACTGCTGGTGTGTTTTCGTGAATTTTTTGACATAGGGTGCTCAGATTACGGGCCTCCCATAGCTGCTGCCAGGCCCCTAATCTGCCCATAGGCCCCTATATACCGCCTCCTCATGCTGCTGCCAGGTCCAGAGTCTGTCATGGGTCCCTGTACGGCCTCCCATTGCTGCTGTCTCCATCGCCACACTCTGCCATGTGCCACTTTCAGGTCTCCTCACACTGCTGGTGTGTAGAATTTTTTGACATAGGGTGCTGGCAGATTACGGGCCTCCCATAGCTGCTGCCAGGCCCCTAATCTGCCATAGGCCCCTATATACCGCCTCCTCATGCTGCTGCCAGGTCCAGAGTCTGTCATGGGTCCCTGTACGGCCTCCCATTGCTGCTGTCTCCATCGCCACACTCTGCCATGTGCCACTTTCAGGTCTCCTCACACACTGCTGGTGTGTAGAATTTTTTTGACATAGGGTGCTGGCAGATTATGGGCCTCCCATTGCTGCTGCCAGGCCCCTAATCTGCCATAGGCCCCTATATACCGCTTCCTCATGCTGCTGCCAGGTCCAGAGTCTCTCATGCCATGTGCCTTTCAGGTCTCCTCACACTGCTGGTGCACAACTCTGCCATGTGCTGACTTTTTTGACATAGGCTGCTGGCAGATTTTTGGCCTCCCATAGCTGCTGCCAGGCCCCTAATCTGCCATAGGCCCCTATATACCGCTGCCTGCCCCTGCCCCATGCTGTCCAGAGTCTGAGTCATGGGTCCCTGTACGGCCTCCCATTGCTGCTGTCTCCATCGCCACACTCTGCCATGTGCCACTTTCAGGTCTCCTCACACACTGCTGGTGTGTAGAATTTTTTGACATAGGGTGCTGGCAGATTATGGGCCTCCCATTGCTGCTGCCAGGCCCCTAATCTGCCATAGGCCCCTATATACCCGCCTCCTCATTGCTGCCATGAGTCTGCCAGGGTCCAGACGTCTCTCATGCCCATGTGCCACTTTTTCAGGTCTCCTCACACTGCTGCTGGTGTGTAGAATTTTTTGACATAGGGTGCCTGGCAGATTACGGGCCTCCCATAGCTGCTGCCAGGCCCCTAATCTGCCATAGGCCCCTATATACCGCCTCCTCATGCTGCTGCCAGGTCCAGAGTCTGTCATGGGTCCCTGTACGGCCTCCCATTGCTGCTGTCTCCATCGCCACACTCTGCCATGTGCCACTTTCAGGTCTCCTCACACACTGCTGGTGTGTAGAATTTTTTTTGACATAGGGTGCTGGCAGATTACGGGCCTCCCATAGCTGCTGCCAGGCCCCTAATCTGCCATAGGCCCCTATATACCGCCTCCTCATGCTGCTGCCAGGTCCAGAGTCTGTCATGGGTCCCTGTACGGCCTCTCCCATTGCTGCTGTCTCCATCGCCACACTCTGCCATGTGCCACTTTCAGGTCTCCTCACACACTGCTGGTGTGTAGAATTTTTTGACATAGGGTGCTGGCAGATTACGGGCCTCCCATAGCTGCTGCCAGGCCCCTAATCTGCCATAGGGCCCCTATATACCGCCTCCTCATGCTGCTGCCAGGTCCAGAGTCTGTCATGGGTCCCTGTACGGCCTCCCATTGCTGCTGTCTCCATCGCCACACACTCTGCCATGTGCCACTTTCAGGTCTCCTCACACACTGCTGGTGTGTAGAATTTTTTTGACATAGGGTGCTGGCAGATTACGGGCCTCCCATAGCTGCTGCCAGGCCCCTAATCTGCCATAGGCCCCTATATACCGCCTCCTCATGCTGCTGCCAGGTCCAGAGTCTGTCATGGGTCCCTGTACGGCCTCCCCATTGCTGCTGTCTCCATCGCCACACTCTGCCATGTGCCACTTTCAGGTCTCCTCACACACTGCTGGTGTGTTGAATTTTTTTTTTGACATAGGGTGCTGGCAGATTACGGGCCTCCCATAGCTGCTGCCAGGCCCCTAATCTGCCATAGGCCCCTATATACCGCCTCCTCATGCTGCTGCCAGGTCCAGAGTCTGTCATGGGTCCCTGTACGGCCTCCCATTGCTGCTGTCTCCATCGCCACACTCTGCCATGTGCCACTTTCAGGTCTCTCCTCACACTGCTGGTGTGTAGAATTTTTTGACATAGGGTGCTGGCAGATTACGGGCCTCCCATAGCTGCTGCCAGGCCCCTAATCTGCTGCATGGGCCCCTATACCGACTCCTCATGCTGTGACGTTGCAACAAGGTGGAATTCAACCCTACATATGTTAGACCGCCTTTACGAACAGCAAAAGGCCATCACAGATTTCCTGATGTTAAAAGCGGATAAAGGTACTCCCTGTGTAACTTAGATGTCAGCCATTGGCAGCTCATGCGTGACACCTGCGCTTGCTCAGGCCCTTTGAGGAGGCCACGCTATTCGTGAGTCGGCAGGACTATGGGATGAACGACGTCATTCCTCTGTTGCACGTCCTGGAAAATGCTGTTAACAATGGCTGGTCAATAGGGTGCGGTAGACGTGGCGCACAGATCTCAACGCCACATGACCCCTGTGGGGGCAGGACAGGAAGAAGAGGAGGAGGTAGAGGAGGACATTGGTGCTCAGGAATTATTGAGTGAAATGGGTGGTTTTTCCACTCAGCGGACAGGAGTGGAGGAGCAGGAGCATCTGGTAGAGGAGGAGGAGGAGGAGGAGACAGAGGACCCAGACGCACCGTGGCAGTATGCTGTGGAGATGGAGGCAGGGAGTCCCCCTCGCATTCCTTGGCACAAATGGCCCATAGCATGCTCGCTTGCTTGCGTAGCGACAGCCGAATAATAACCATCAGACAGAGGGATGACTTTTGGCTGTCCACCTTGTTGGACCCTCGCTACCGTTCAAAAATGGTGGCCTTTTTCACACCTGCTGAGAGGGAGGCCAAAATAACGTACTATAAAAAACCACCTATGTAGTCAGCTGGTCTCTGCCTGTCTGCGCCAACGTCCATCCTCAGACACTGTGGGCCCTGTGCGCTCGCGTTCCGCTGCCATGGCAGCAGGGGAGGGGTGGGGTGGTAGGAGCAGTGGCAGCTCCACCAGCAGCGGCTGCCTCAGTCTGCAGTCGATGATGAGTAGCTTTCTTCACCAGCGCAGTGAGGAAACTACTAACCAGCCGCAGCAGCAGCAGCAGCATCATCAGGTGGACCTGGAGCAGGACCTCAAACAACAGGCTTAGGCCTACTTGGACAGCACCCTGCCAACCGAGGTAGACAATCCCCTTGACTACTGGGCAACGAAACTTGACCTTTGGCCCCAACTAGCTGAATTTGCCCTTGAAAGGCTGTCATGCCCGGCCGTGCCAGTAGCGTGGCATCGGAGCGCGTGTTTAGTGCGGCAGGAGGTATTGCAACTCCGCGGAGGACACGACTGTCCACCCAAAAGTGTGGAGAGACTGACGTTTGTGAAAATGAATCAGGCGTGGATTAGTCTGGATTTCAAACCACCAGTTCCTGACACAACTGACTAAATCCGCCATGAATCATGCCCCAAACATGTGCCCACTTTCAGGTCTCCTCACACTGCTGGTGTGTTCCATTTTTTGTCATAGGGTGCTGGCAGATTACGGGCCTCCCATAGCTGCTGCCAGGCCCCTAATCTGCCATGGGCCCCTATACCGCCTCCTCATGCTGCTGCCAAGTCCAGAGTCTCTCATGGGTCCCTGTACGGCCCTCCCATTGCTGCTGTCTCCATCGCCACACTCTGCCATGTGCCACTTTCAGGTCTCACACACTGCTGGTGTATAGAATTTTTTGACATAGGGTGCTGGCAGATTACGGGCCTCCCATAGCTGCTGCCAGGCCCCTAATCTGCCATAGGCCCCTATATACCGCCTCCTCATGCTGCTGCCAGGTCCAGAGTGTGTCATGGGTCCCTGTACGGCCTCCCATTGCTGCTGCTGTCTCCATCGCCACACTCTGCCATGTGCCACTTTCAGGTCTCCTCACACTGCTGGTGGGTTCCATTTTTTTGTCATAGGGTGCTGGCAGATTACGGGCCTCCCATAGCTGCTGCCAGGCCCCTAATCTGCCATGGGCCCCTGTTGTCGCTTGTTGGCATATTCCGCTCGTTCAGATGCTCCTTCTCCTGCTACTCCTCTTCACGGATTTCCGTCAGCAGTCTTTCTTGGAATCCGTTTCCAAGAGACAACAGTTTGCGAGCACGCACCAGACGGTGCAGAAACTGAACGTCCTCCTGTCCAAGTTGCTGCTGCCAGGCTCGTAATCTGTCATGCGCCCCTGTACCGCCTCCTCATGCTGCTGCCAGGTCCAGAGTGTGTCATGGGCCCCCCGTACCGACTCCAAATGCTGCTGCTGCCAGGCCCGTAATCTGTCATGGGCCCCTGTACCGCCTCCCCATGCTGCTGCCACGTCCAGATTGTGTCATGGGTCCCTGTACGGCCTCCCATTGCTGCTGCCAGGCCTGTAATCTGCCATGGGCCCCCGTACCGACTCCTCATGCTGCTGCCAGGCCCGTAATCTGCCATGGGCCCCTGTACCGCCTCCTCATCTCTGCTGCTGCCAGGTCCAGAGTGTGTCATGGGTCCCTGTACGGCCTCCCATTGCTGCTGTCTCTATCGCCACACTCTGCCATGTGCCACTTTCAGGTCTCCTCACACTGCTGGTGGTTTCCATTTTTGTCATAGGGTGCTGTATGGCCTCCCATTGCTGCTGCCTCCACCGCCACACTGTGGCTCCACACTCTGGTTTTGGCCCCGTGACTGCCCAAATGAGTGAAGTGTGCGGTGATTCTAAGATCGACGGCACTCATCTGCATGTCATACTGCCTGACAGTATTATTTCTCTTCCCCAGAGACTCCAAGGGCATTTAAATTAAAGGTACAGTGTTCAGCACTAATATTAAGTCTCTCTGAAGCCTAGAAACACCCTTTTTTAAGTTAAATTCACAGCGAATATATTCGACTCGAATCGAAATTTTTCTACGAATTCGCCGAATCAGTCGAATCGAATTTTTGAATACTTCGCTCATCTCTATTTGTAATATTTTCCAAACAGAGAAGATAGTTAACAATTTTCTCTTGATAATAACTAAGTATATTCTTGACATTTGCACTTGGTCTTTTGGATTAAGCATTTGATGTACTGTTGGCAACTCTTCCTCAGTTTGCATGTGCATTTATTGATGGCTGTCCATGCTGCTTTAAGTAATCATTCACATAATGCTGCTCTGCTAAAGGTCAAAAATGCCAGTAGGTATTCACATCAGAGCACAAGATTCATCAGCTTTCTCTTGCATAATATTATTGATTTGGTCATGCACACAAAAGTCATGGGTCACTGACCTATGCATTGCTTTGTTATTGTTCCTTAACTCATCTTACATTATTAAACACTTTGCTTGGATTGTTGTATTACAACATAGTTTGTGTTTATATATTGTGTGCTACCAATATAAATAATTAAAAAAAACAAAGGTAGACTTTAGAAGCAAGTATAGAAAGAACCATGCCATCAAAAGAGACACCTAAAGAAAGACACCTAGAAAAAAAGGTACTTTAACTTCTTGCCTACCGCGCATAGCCGAATGACGGCTTCACACCGCGGCCGGCCAGTTCTGAGTGGACGTCATATGACGTCCTCCCAGAACGCGCTCTCCTGTGCGCCCCAGGGGGCGCGCACCCGGCGATCTCCGTGATCGCTGTGTCCTACGGACACAGCTGATCACGTGATGTGGTGAAAGGCCGATCCCACCGGCCTTTTACCACGTGATCAGCGGTGTCCAATGACACGCTGATCACAGGGAAATGCAAGTGCCGGTTCTCGGCTGCACTTTCCTCACGCTGACAGATCGTGAGGAAAGTACTGCCGAGAACCGGCAGTTGTCAGAGCGGGGATCGGCACCGATCATCAGGGCACTGATGATCAGTGCCCTGATGATCGGTGCCCAGCAGTGACACCCGCAAGTTCCGCCCAGCAGTGCGCCCACTAGCCCCGCCCACCCATTCCCAGCAGTGCCCCCACCTGTGCCCAGCAGTGCCCCCACCTGTGCCCAGCAGTGCCCCCACCTGTGCCACTCTGCAGTGCCACCTACCTGTGCCCAGAAGTGCCACCTACATGTGCCCAGCAGTGCCACCCACCTGTGCCCACCCACCAGTGCCACCCACCTGTGCCCACCAGTGCCACCCACCCACCAGTGCTGCCCACCAGTGCCACCCACCAGTGCAGCCCAGCAGTGCTGCCAGTCAGTGCCACCAGTCAGTGCCCAGGGGTTGTGCCAGTCAGTGCCACCAGTCAGTGCCCAGAAGTGATGCCAGTCAGTGCCGTCTATCAGTACCCATCATCAGTGTCACCTATCAGTGCCGCCTATCAGTGCTGCATATCAGTGCCGCCTATCCGTGACCCCTAATTAGTGCTGTCTATCAGTGCCGCCTATCCGTGCCACCTCATTAGTACTGCCTATCAGTGCCCTTTAGTGCTGCCTATCAGTGCCCATCAGTGCCGCCTATCAGTGCCCATCAGTGCCGCCTCATCAACGCAAATCAGTGAAGGAGAAAAAATACCTGTTTGAAAAATTTTATAAAAGAAACAAATAAACTTTTTTTTTTTTTTCAAATTTTTTGCACTTTTTTTAATTTATAGCGCAAAAAGTAAAGTGCCCAGTGGCGATTAAATACCATCAAAAGAAAGCTCTATTTGTGAGAAAAAAATGATCAAAATTTCATATGGGTACAATGTTGCATGACCGCGCAATTGTCAATCAAAGTGCGGCAGCGCTGAAAGCTGAAAATTGGCCTGGTAAGGAAGGGGGTATAAGTGCCTGGTAGGCAAGTAGTTAAACAACCCAAGTAGTGTCACTAAAAACATGATTATTTATTAGGACATGATACAAAGTTACAAAATTACAACATTTTGTGGATATTGGTAAAAAAGACAAATTACATAGACCTCCACCTGACACCTAAAAGCTGTGACAATGTTGTCACAGCTTTTAGGTGTCAGGTAGAGGTCTTTTTAATTTGGCTTATTTACCAATATGAAGCAAAATGTTTTAATTTTTTTAACTTTGTATTATGTGCTAATAAAAAATCATGTTTTTAGTCACACTACTTGGATTGTTTGAAGTATCTTCTTTTTTCTAGAGGTCTTTCCCTAGGTGTCTTTATTCATGCCCTTGTATGGGTACACTGATCAATGCCATATAATTAGTGAGCTAGTGGACTACTTAATTTAAAATTGTTTTGCATCATTTTATAGTGTTGATGTCTTAGTGACACTCTATATGTTACAAAACAATGCCTATCTTTTGTACCATGTTTTCGTAGATTCAGTTGAGTTACCTCCAGAGAATACATGTTCTTTGCATGTTTAAATGCCTTTTTTTCCTGATAGTCAGTTTTCATGCTGATAGGAAGTTAAGATTCTCATTAATACTGGCTTGTATATTTAAAAGACTACATTTTTGTAATTGCTGCCCTGTGGTAAGGGTATGTGTAATATGTTCTCCTAACCCTCTTGTTTTGAATCGTATTGTAACTGTACTTTCTCCCTTCATATTGTAAAGTGCTGCAATAACTGTTGGAGCTATATAAATTCTGTATAATAATATTAATATTACCAATAGTAGTAATACTAATTATAACAAGTTGTTTTAGTATTTATTAGTTTTGCTAGTATAGGGTATAGAGGTTAGTACACATGTGTTAGTATAAGTATAGGCATTATTCCCATAACCTCTTCATTTCAAGAAGAATAATGTATTCACTGCCTGCACAAGTTACATTGACCATAGCTGACTTAACCCCTTATGTTTTTGTCAACCCTATGCAGTGCTTGGAAATGAATTGAACCTTTTAATTTTTAATGGCTAAGTTCACCTTTAGGATAAAATTAATAAATGCTCTTTTTGCAAATAAAAACATGTAAATTTACATTTTTTTTGTAGAAGCCTGTAAAGAATTGCACCCACGATCAGCAATTCGGGGGTGCAATGCAGGGCTCCTGCAGACTGTTGGTGCATCTGTCTGCTTGTACGTCATAAGGGCAGGCAGTTACAGAATGACAGGCGGAATCAATGGACTATGAGAGCGCTCACCAGTGCCCAGCAGTCCATTGAGAACTACAAGCCATCAGCTGAAAAGGCTGTAAATACTTGTAGTTAATTCATGCAACTCTGTGAATGAATGATGTGGCTAGTGGGTGTAGGATCTCCAGCCTGCTGTCATGGGGGGATCGGGGAGAGGAGGCAGGAGTGGAAACATGTTACATTTTCCACCCTACAAATCCCAAAGGTGAACCTTTCCTTTAAACGTGACAATAACTAAAGTTCCCAATGGTCAGAAATGCTTATGATTTCACAAAAGAGAACAGGTAATGAAGCACTTCAACATGCATAGGCTTAAGGGTTTCATAGATAAGCTGTTGTCTCCACACTAATGAATCTCTGTTGGGTACAGTGTCTGTCTCATAACACCCATAGACAAAAGGCCAGTTTTCTGATGTAAAAAAAAAAAAGTTTGGTTTAGGTTTAAGAAGAAATGCAATTTGCATTTTCTTGTGCTCACATGAAGGCATCAAGGGAAAGTGAATCTTATTGAAAAAAGCCTTGACATACCTATGATGACATGACACTAATTCTTTGGTAATCTGACTTGGTAGCTAGTATTACCAATACATATAATCATTAATAAAATATAGATATATATTTCTGTGCTTAATGGATGTTTAGTGTACCCAGCTGTCACTCCAAAGTGCACTAGGAAAACTTACAAATACAGCATGTGAACGAGAGACGCTACAAATAATAACAGTCAATTCAAGTGTTAAACAGATTGTAATTTAGCACAATTGTTATTATTGGTAGCACCGCTCTTTACCATATATGTAAATGAATCAAATATAACCATAAAACAAATGTCTATACTAAATATGTTAGCTATGATGATGAAAGTATTTTCTAAAGTATTTAAACCATCAACACATACAGTGTTTTATCTTTTTTGCATACTAATGTTAAAATAGTAGAGTAGCAGAGTTAGCAGTAGCAGCAAAGGGCTGGACATTGTTGAATCTGTATCTGTCTCTTTTCTCTTCTATAGATTAACTTAAAGATTTTCCATCAGTTGCAGGAGACCCAAAACCTAATGATGTGTATATCTATCATTCCAGTCAGTTAATTTACTGAATAATATAAATGTGAAACTATTAGAAAAACACACTTGGTAGCTAACTACATTCAACAAAGCTTAGACCTTTGATTTTGGGAAAAAAAGTGGTTCCAGTTGATTTATTCAAGATACACAATATCAGTTTTACCCCCAGGGTCCAAGCACCACTATATATAAGTACCAAGCAACACGATATTGTGAGTGCATTTTCAGGTGGTACAGTGATGGGGAGATGGTCACACAAGTGTGACCTGAAGTCCACCAAGTTTTCTCAATAAAGAACTCTAAGGACAAGTGGAATATGTTTAAGGATATATAAGACATCAGCACCTGCCAGTGTTTTGAGAACAAAGGATGTCCGATTGGCTGCACTCCAAACAATCCACTTTATTGAACCAAGATACAACCAATACAGACAGTGGAAATACAGTGGGGGACTGGCAGGTAGACACGTTTCACGCTAAAGACAGTGCTTAATCATTACACACTGCAAGTGTTTTCCTTTGGGAAATACATATACAAAATTTCAATCTGAGTAGCTAAATTCTGGGGTAAAAGACATATAACCAAGAAAACGTGTCTTAAATATGTAAGCTAGAAGGTACATCACTGGCATTTCAAAACTACATGGGAGGCAACAAGAAATGTAAGAACTAATACAGGGAAGCTAAAATAAACTATGAAAAAAACATAAGATATAACACAAGATATAAAGGCGAGCACAGATAATATGGTAGC